GGGCGGGGGGGAGGAGGAGAGGGACAAGCAGATTCCCTGCTGAGCGCAGAGCCCGTGTCGAGGTGCTCGATCCCAGGACCCCAGGATCTTGACCTGAGCCACCCAGGTGCCCCTGATTTAACATTAACCATTTAAAACCAATTTAAGGGGTGTCACGCACCCCTCAAATATCAGTCTTCACCTTTAAGCGCTGATAGAAATATAACCACCACGAAAGCTATACTTGTCTTTCGATTTTAGTATATGTGCTGCCGAAGCGAGCGCATATACTTGTCTTTCAGGTAGCTGTTCTATGCATCTCCTGATAGAGATGGTATTTTACATCTTATACAAGACTTCTGATCTAACCAAACAAACTCATTATTAATGGAACTTTTCATTCATTAGGGCTGAAGACAGTCAACTCCTTTAGGACCAAGATATTTGCTGAGGTAACCAAAAACACGAATCAATACTTTCTAGCCCAAACATTTGTTTCACGTTAATGACAAAGTTTGGTTATTTAGTGATTGTTTATATAGAAGGAGAAGGGTGATATATCATAATATCAGAATTTGTTTCTAAAGCTTTTAAAATACTCTGACGTAAGGGGATTTATACACACAAGGCACTATTATTATAGTGCTTTTTTTGCCCTTGCCTGTAATTTAAGTGGAGACCCAAGGCAGAGCTCATTAAGACAGATTTTAAAGCCCTTACTAATCAAGAGAACATCAGTTTAACAGTGAACTTAGATTTCCTTTCCCTTTTACACAATATTGTGGGACTCAATCCATTTAAGAAATAGAGAACACCTACTATGTGCATGGCCCCTTAGGGACACAAGATGAAATAGAAACAAGTCCAAACTTGGAAACAAGTATAGTTTATGCCAACCCTGGGTAGAATTTGCTGATGGCCACAAGGCGAATTTATCTTCCGAAGACAGCTGCTATAATACCTCTCATCCCAAAGGCCTTCCTGAGCCTTACCACTCCTACATCAAGAGGTGGAATCTGGGTGAGTGTGGATGGATGGGAAATGGGATTGGGGAAGGGGAGGACGGTTTCATGAAGGGCACAGCCCAGGGCAAGGCTTGGGATGAAAAATCCACAATATGTGAGGTATGACAGAACGTTTTGGGAAATAAGCTGGAAATTGAGATTAAGACTGAGGAGGGCCTGTATCTGTGCTGTCCAATGTGGTAGCCTCTAGACACATGTGGCTATTGAAATTTATTTCATTACAATTAAATAGAAGAAGTGAAAATTCAGGGGCGCCTGGGTGCTTCAGTCAATTATGCGTCTGACTCTTCATTTCGGTTCAGGTCATGATGTCACGATCTCATGAGATCGAGCCCCGCATCGGGCACCTGGCGGGGCATGGAACCTGCTTAAGATTCCGTTTCTCCCTGTCCCTCTGCCCCTCCCCTCCCCGGTTCTCTCACTCCAAGAAAAAAAAAAAAAGTAAAAATTCAGTTCCTCAGTCACAGTAGCCCCATTTCAAATGGTCATCAGCCACGCATGGCCAGTAGGTCTGCCATATTGGATGGTGCAGGTGCAGGTGCAGAGCATCTCCAACAATGCAGACAGAGCTCCTTACTGGATAGGGCTGGTCCATGTAGTATTCCTTCTTCTCCTCAGGCAGCTTGAGCCACCACAGGCCTTTGAGACAGCATGGAACCTGGTGCTCTATGTGCAGAACGGACAAGAGTGCAGGGGAGTCAGGAGGGCAGAGGACACATGTGTTGGGGAACAGGAAGCCTATGGATTTCAAGACAGCCCAGGAGGGGGAAAACAGACCGGCCATACTTACCAGGTGGCTGGTGATTTACTTATCAGTTCCTTAGGATATTAAAATGGTTTCGGGGCGCCTGGGTGGCTCAGTCGTTAAGCGTCTGCCTTCGGCTCAGGTCATGATCCCAGGGTCCTGGGATCGAGCCCCGCATCGGGCTCCCTGCTCTGCGGGAAGGCTGCTTCTCCCCCTCCCACTCCCCCTGCTGTGTTCTCTCTCTCGCTGTGTCTCTCTCTGTCAAATAAATAAATAAAATCTTAAAAAAAATAAAAAAATAAAAAATAAATAAATAAATAAAATGGTTTCATGGGGCGCCTGGGTGGCTCAGTCGGTGAAACATCTGACTTCAGCTCAGGTCAGGATCTCAGGGTCCCGGGATCAAGTCCCGCATTGGGCTCCCTGCTCGGTGGGGAGTCTGCTTTTCCCTCTCCCTCTGCCCTCCTGCTACTTGTGCTCTCTCTCTCTCTCTCTCTCTCTCACTTTCTGTCAAATAAATAAATAAAATTTTTAAAAACTTTTTAAAAAATATAAAATGGTTTCATTACAGTGCTGGGCTCACTGGAGACTTGCAGAAACAAAGCCTGCTTTCAAAGGCCCGACAGAAAGCCTGGGAGGGGTGGCAAGGGAGAGGAGGCCCAGGAGAGGGGACTGCCCCCCGAGGGCACTGGCTGCAGCCCAGGCTGGGGGTGGCGTGCCAGGGTATCCACTGGCAGCACGTGCCCACCGCACCTCCAGAGGAAGAGTTTCTTTGACCAGCCTTTGGCAGTGAGGGGACGACTAGTAAACAACTGCACAGAATCAATGGCCCCGTAACTCAGTGCTCCTTTGTGGGCAGTGGAGCAGGGAGAGATGCTCTCAGGCAAGAAAGCGAGCAGTCATTAGCATTTGAAATAAAAGCCAACAGTTTAAGATAGTTACAATGAGCTTTCCAGAGCCTTTGCAGGGATCCAGATGAGATTTCCTGCCATTTCCTTTCCAGCTACCCACCTCTTACTGTCCTGAATCCCATCACTGATCTTTTAAGCAGCCAGGCACCGGGCTCTGTATTCTGAAGCTTAATACAAGGTGACCAGCCAGGGTTTTGCATCAGGAACTTTTTCCCCCAGCGGGACCGAACATTTTCTCCAACTTGGCTCCTTCAGCGAGACCTCGTAGAGGCTGGACAGCCTCATCCGTGCCCACAGACCCTGATGCCCCTCCCCACCGGCAGCCAGGCCCAGCAAAGGCAGACCCCTCCCACACATAACAGCGCTAAACTGGGGACATAATGGCTCACAAGAGAATCATTTATTTGTGACACTGAGTAAGGAAATGGGAAGCCGGCTCTAGAGGCCCATACATGTAAGTAACCCACAGAAGCTGACAGTTCAAGTACCATACTGAATCCTGCAAGTGAGGAAACCAAGTAAGCAAACACAGAACACCAGAAGCATCTTGCTCCACACGGGTGTTAGGATGCCACCCTGCACTTAAACCTCCCCACAGAGCTCGTCCATTCCCCCTTCCTGTCGGGGACACTTAAAACCCTTTCCAGCTCAATGGGGATGCATCTTGCTTATGTCAGATACCAGGCCAGAAAGACTGGCTCCTAACTTAACTGAGACTAGGAGACACAAAGGAAATCTTTTATACTAACGATCCATTTGAAACAATCTTGCCCTTTCCTGCATGGTGAAGAGCAACGGCATTGCCAGTCCTCTTATTTACAAGTGTAAATGTGGTTTTCAGAGCTCCAAAATGATACCCCAAATTGTCTTCCCCTAAAGAAACTTAAAGTACCAAGTCAGTGCCTGTCATTTTCTTTTACTCTTTGGCTCTGTAAATATACACGGCATCTCTTTAAACAAACACAGAAGAGGACTTGCGCTTCTGTGCAAAATTTCACACAGGTACTTGTTGTACTGCCCAAATCCCACCTCTCGTGAATATGAGAAACCTGCCAGGAACCCAAAGGGTCTCCCCACCGCTTCCCGGCCTCCCAGCACTGGCCCCACAGGGAGTGCTCAGGTTCGATTAGTTCTCCCCCAGGGCACCCCTAAATGTGAGTTTGCCAGATGCGCTGGACGTAGTCATGGTAAACACCTGTCAGCGTGGGTCGAGGGGGGACAGGGACTTATATGAAGAGCAGTCAGAGAAGAATCACAGGGGCGCAGGCTCATGTGGGGCTCTATGTATATTAACCCATTTTCTCCTCACAGCAAGTCTGTGAAGTAGGTCCCCTCATTTTGCCCCCATTTTACAGAAATGGAGAGAGAGGCCTGAGGTCACCAGCGTTAAGTGGCAGAGGTGAGATGTGAGCCCAGGCAGGCAGGCACCCCAGGCTGAGTTTTAATCACCACCTCCTTCTGCCTGTCCCACAAGTGTGTGCATTTTACGTCTAAGGGGAGAAACAGACAGCACAGACCTCCTCCATTAATGGTGTCTTGTATAAGACATAAAGAGCACATCGTCAAGTGCCAGAGTCGTGCAAAATGCAGACATACTGCTGAGGGTGGATTGGGGTTTATGGGGCTCAGCGCAGGGAAGGCTATAAGTTGCGGGGAGGAGTTCTGGAATAAAAGTCCGCCTCCTCTGCCCCAGCAGCAGATGGGCCAGCTCACCAGCGTTCTCCACCACCTGTTCGAAGAGGAGTTCTGGAAAATTACTTAGTGGACAACGACTCCACCTTCACGCCTTCCCTCAAGAAGTAACCGCCCCCACTCCATCACTGTTTGCTGGAGGAAATTTATGACCGGCCAGTCCACGCAGTCAAGAAAATACATAAATCATCTTCTACAAGTTTAACGGCGCTCTAGAAAACCCGGTGTTCTCCCTTATGTTGAGCTGTGAAGCGTGCACACCTGCACACGACACGCGTATTTAGGATACTCACAGAGGGTACCGCGGAGAGAGGACATGTGCCATCCAGGGGCAATCTCTGCCAAGCAAACAGGACGACGTGGGCTCCCTCAAAACCCTTTCTAAGGGCAAGTGCAAATACTCAGCAGTGTGAACTCATTTTTTCTGCGCCACCAGTGAGACCTGGACTGGTACCCGACTGCAAATCTGCAATCAGGCCCATTCAGTCCCCCCCGGCTGAGCAGTGAATGGAGGGAGCCCCCAGAGGATATGTTCAGCCCCCAGCCAGTGAGGCATAAAGCCTGAACCTTGACACGGAGGAAGGTCAAGGAGCATCCAGAAGCATGAATTCTAGCAAAAGAATGTTAGCATCAACTTTGGGATCTTACTTGTAGTTTTTCTCCCAGAATTTCACTGGTCTAACATAGGAGGTGATGAAAATAACACTCCCGAGGAACGGGCTCAGTGGAGTAGAGAAGATGGAGGTGACAATCGTCTGAAAGAAAAGTATGGCGGAATCTGAGAATTTTGAGTTAAGGCAAAAAAACCCCCACAGACCATTTTTTTCAGTGTTATTGTATATCGAAATATTATTTCAGATTTTGACTCGTTTAACTGAAAGCCGTTTTCTCGCCAAGGAAAGAAAGGAGGGCATGAAGGTGATCTCTCTGTATACGGAGTCAGGAATATAAAACTTTCAGTAGGATCCTGCTAGGTCTCGTTTTGCCAGCGTGAAAACCAAATGCTTCTCATAAAAATCCCCGCGGTCTCGGGGTGATTTATGGCAAAGACTTAATATCTGAGGTTTGAAAAAAACCTCTTTTTACTAGGGTATCATTAGCAGAACAAAACACACTGTGCTACATTTACGAAAGTATTAAGGAGCTTTATAAATAATTAAAATTAAATTACACTTTTTAGAAGAAATAAATAGCATGGTGTGAGAAGGCAGCATCTCTGTTTCTCAAAGACTCTCCCCACTATTCAAAAAAATATATTCTTTATGATATATTGAACACCGATGGCTCAAGTCATGTCTGGTTTATAAGCTAAAACTGTAGACACATGAAGTCACAGCATGTTGCGCTCTGTATGGGTTTCTCACTTACTGATGGGACTCACTTTTACACACCGTGGTTGATCAGAAACATAATTGTCCAATATTAAAATTAGTACTGCTGCCATATTTGGATGAAAACCAATGAATTGATCTCTAGAAATCTGAGAGGATGCCTGGCACAGACAGGAAGACTCTGCGTCATTGCCAGTCAGGACATAGAAGTGACCCAGGCATCCAAATGCCTTTATATACTCTCAGCCACGTGCTGGGGAGGGGTGGCTGTGGGGACCTCACCACCCATTTATACATAAATCCAGAAAAGGAGAGCCTTGTGCTGTCATAGGCACGTCCCCAGGTATTTTCACAGAATTAAGCTCAGAATTTTGCTTCAGGAATAACTGTGTCTTTATTTTATTCTTTTTTCAACTTGCTATTTACTGCCAAGCAACTTCAGGAGTGAAATGACATATCCTCCATTAATAATCCATTCTGGTGTTGAATTGTTTGGGTAGCAAAATGATCTCTATGGTGCTACAATTTAAATCCAATTCCTTTTATTTTGACCTCGGTTCACACGGAGAGCTACAGAACAATGAGCTACTGTGAGATCTATTATCACCCATCTGTTTTCTCTTCATTGGAAAGCTGAAAATATCTAAATACCTGGGTCACAAAACACACCAAATTAACCATGCCCCTTGTCTCGGGAAGAAAAGAGAACTGCATGGGGGATGTCATGGAGTAAAGGTACTGAAAAAACGTGAGAAGGCAGAGCCACAGGGGGATTTCTCTGGTGGGAGGAGGGCAGGAGGGCACTGGGGGGTTTGCAGAAAAACCAGGACAAAGCCACACGGACGTGGGGCTGAGCAGGATGCTAGAGAGGCTGGCCCTGCTCTTCTTTTCGATTCTGTGTATTTCCCCCAAGATTGTGTTGTCCATTTTTTAAATGCCAGAGACAATTAGCCAGAAGTTAAGTCAGGAAAGCAGTGCGAAGCTGTAAATAAAGTTCAATGGGGTAGGAAAGGAAAGTTTAACAGGTCTGAGGTAAGGCAGAAGTGAATAGGTGGCCTCAGAGGTTATTTTATTTAGGGGAAGATCAATAAAGAAATACAGCACGCTCCGGGCAAATATAAAAGCCTGTAGGTATAACTGCTCACACAACGCTGAGACGTGGGGACTCCTATGAGAGCCTGCACATGGGGCCCTCTTTGTTTCTTACTCACAGGGAGAGGGTGACTCTGTCAAAAGCTTCCATTAGCGCACATTTAAAATGAAAACATCCCTGTCAGTCCTTAAAGTTAAAAACAAACCGTCTGAAGCTCAAAAGGACATACCAAAGATAAATTCTGCAACCTTCCCAATATACACATTTAACAGAGATAATCTGGCTGCGTCTGTAATGACTAGAAGACAATGGTCTTGCATGGTCTCTACACATAGTAAAAGGGTGAGCATTCTCATCCGTCCCTGGAGGTTACAAGCTCAGAAACTAGAAGAGGCTACCAAGGGAGAAAACATGCTAGTACTGGAAAAAGCAATTTACTAAACAGTGCCCTGCTGGCCTAAACGCTAATTCAGTTCCAAAATGGAGCAAATTAGTCCCTTCCTGATGCCAGGATTGAACCCACAGCTTCTTAATAGAGTGATAAAATAATTAACATTTCAAAATTAGTAAAGATCCAGGCCTGGTGCTTAGGAACCCCATAGCTTTGTCTTGACGGCTTAGACATCTGGTTTTCTAAACTATGATCTCATTATATTCGGAATGGTATAACGTTGGCTTCCAGATAACACATATCTACCTTTACAACTAGTCAAGGATGGGAAGGTGTCCTGGGATAAGGGGAAGGGGGGTGACGGGTCCTGTTAGCTGTCACATAACTGCAGTGGTCAGGCTCCCAGGTCACTTTGAAGGCTCTGTATCTCAGGAGAAGGGAAAATGTGGATGTCACTATCACGGGCAGTTTTGGGAACAAAGCACGGGGATCGATCAAGTGTTCTAAAACAGAGCCACCAGATGCCCAATGAAATCTACATCTCAAATGTTCAATTTCTTGAGAATGAGTCCACCCACCAAGAAAGCACTTAGATTTAATATGCACCGTGTGCAATCTGAGGTGGATACTAACACCGTGTTTATTCTTATAGGAGATATTAAGTGCCAGATATGAAGTGCTTGTGTGTGTACCCTCAGCACACAAAAAGGTCAGGTAATTGAAAGTTATGGCTCCCAGGAGGGTCTTAACTCAGCTGTGGTACCATAAGGAGTAATTAGTATCGCTGAACTCACCTAACAAGGCATAAATAGGCACAAGAAATGCTACAGATCTGCATGGGACCAAAGTTAGGATAAAATTGGGAATCATAAACTTCAAGTTTCACGTTCTTTGTGCAACTCCTGAACCACAAATTTGCATCATCCAGTAGTTTTCATTTAATAAACAGGCTGTAAACTCTAGATAGGATGCCTGAGACACACTTCAGAAATAAATAACAATCACCTCTTTTTCAGCTCACTGTCTTTGTTTTAAAGGACTCTTTAGAAAAACCAAAATTACTGGTATGGTAGAAAATGATTGCAGTTAAAGGGGAAAAAATTGTGTAAGAGCTCACACTCTTGCAATTGTTTTTTCCTTAGCTTGTTCTGCCAAATAACCTTGAAACACTTCAGAAATATCATTGCAGGTCTAAGAATAAGAGCACAGAACAGCATGCATTGTAAGGCCAGCTCCTGGTATGCTTAAAAAGATGCTTTTAAACAGATGAGTCTGGAAAAGGGCATTGTTAAAAGCCTAGAATATATTATCCTTTAACAATTAATCCCACATATGTTTCCATGCCTGTACACAAAGTTCAGGTCCCAGAGACTGTTTGTGAATCGTCTTAATGAGCCTTGTGTGGACATCGTATGGAAGGAAGCTATAGAACTGGGGGTCACACATGCCAGTGGGGTAGGGATCCTGGGCAGGCTTTTGAAGATGAACATTCCAGGATCCACCCCCTGAAATGTGATTTTAAAAGTATGTGTTGGGCTCTGGGATTTCGTTATTTAACAAGCTTCTCCAGGGATTCCCATATAAGTAGTTCCTGAAAAACATTGTGGAAAGCACACGTTTAGGAGGTATAAATGAGGTGGGAAGGAAAGCCTTTGAGGGCAAATTTTAGGCCTGTGTCAAGGATATTTTTGTCTAATCTCTCTCTCTTCAAGAGTATTTTTTATTAATCTCTCTCTCTCTCCACTTACACACACACCCCACACACAACTTACCTGTGTCAAAGTGGTCCCTACAAGGAGTATCTCAAGTTTGTTTTGAAGTAAATTAAAACTAATTATCATCATGGGCAACACTTAAAAACAGACAAAGAAACCAAATGAACCTACGCACGATAAAACTAGGCTTCTTGGCTGAGAGCAGCTACAAAACAAAACCATCTATTAGTTTTTTTGTCTTTAGAAGACTTTGGGTAATTCTATGTGTATCTAATTCTGAGTTTTGAATATTACTCAAGTATATGATTACCAAACTCTATCCTAATATAGTCTTAGATAATCTATAATAGTGTATCAGAGCCATTAGCCCTATCCACCGTGTTTAATAATAGCAGATCGATTTACACTATTTTGCACAAGTCAACTGAACCATTTAAGCAGTAACTTTCCATTTGAAAGACAGGGTATCTTAATGCAGATCTGGGCGTGGGAAATGGAAGAATCAGAGAAAAATAAAGTAATCCTGGATATGCATTAGGAAGCAGGAAGAGTTCAAAATTAAGCAACATCTTTTAAGGCTAAGTGGCCTAAGGGGAATCCAAAGTGCCTCCCCACGTCCCCATTAAAATGTAATCTTAAAGACTTTCAAATCTTTTCATTGCCAGGATTCAATGAAAAGCTTGCATCCATAAAATGTGACTCTCAGCTGGTGGGTGAAAATAGAAGCCCAAAGGATACGAGGGACGGCAAAGAGCTGAGCAAACACATGAAATGAAGAACCCCACGCCATCTGCCAAGGAGCCACGTACGTCAGGACGAACTGTAACTTGTGAAGCAGGTCCCCGAGCTGAAAGCAGAAGGAAAAGATTCATCAGAGACAACAACAGACAACCGGGCTGGCAGCTGAGTCAAGGTCACCTACAGCCAGGGGGGCGGAGCTATTGTTCTCCCTCCTGCTCTTACCTTCCTTTGTCCTACACGCAAGGCAGCTGTTTTGGGAAATTTTAAAACAGACCCAAAATGGTCTGAGTGGTTCCTGTCCCCAGGTTAATTACTCCAGCCAGCAGGTGCGGCGTGTCCCTGCGTCTCTGCCTTTCTCAGAGGAGCACTCCCAGTTTGCTCTTCCAGCCTTCATATTGGGTCGTTTAGGGGAGATTCATACAAAAACCTATCATCATGGCCACTGTTCAACTTAAAGCCCTTCAGTGGCTCTTGCTGGAGGAAAGAGCTCCGTACCACTGAAGTGCCAGTTACAAGGCACTTTAGAAAGCCACGACAGGCTGCTGAAGCTGTTGTGTTCGCTCGGCCAGGCAGCACCGGAAAGCATGGAGTTCTGGGAGTTGCAGGGGGTGAGGAGGAGAGACCTGACGTGGACTGAGGATGCTCGAGATTCAGAATAGGAACATGCCAAGAAGGATGGACAGGAACGGGTGGGCCTGGCTGGGGCCCTCCGCTTTGTGGGAAGAAGCGGCTCATGAATCCCAGATGCAAATTCCACAGCTCTTGCTTCCACGTGCAGTGAGCATCCTACTAGCGTCTGCCCCCAGACTCCACATACATACACTCTTTGTGCATTACGGAAACTTCAGGCACAATGTGTTTGTTCCTAAACTGGCTAGCATATAAGATAGTAAAATAGATTCCCCAAGGCCAGGAGGTGAAATGAGAAGAACAAATGGAATTCTTAATTAGGCTCAACGGGTATTACGTAGGACAACAGAAGACCACCGAGAACAGGAGGCAAAAGTTGGGAAGCAGGGCCATTAAGGAAAGGTTCAAAGCACTGAGATGACTTAGCCGGCCAGCAGAAGGCCAGCCTTGTGATGTGGGGACCAAAAGATGAGGTTGCTCTGAATTGTTCCGTGAAAGTGGAGTGAGGCAGATGAGGCTCATCAGAGACCTCTCCAAATCTTCCTCTCGCCTTTCTTGTCTCCCTGCTCTCCCCCCGACAACCCAGTGCTGGAGAATAACTCCAGAGTGGAGTTAAACATGGTCCGACAGGGCACAGAAGAGGAACGAAGGGTCAAAGTCCTCTAAAGGCCCAGCAAACATGGAGTTTGTAAGAAGTGAGAGGCAGCAGGTTAGGAACAGAACCCCAGGGGTCTCAGTGTGTCCACAGACCCAGCGATGAAACAGCGGAGTAGAGAGAAGGAGGGCGGAGGGCCACTCGGGCGGGGGACAGGAACAAAACAGAGAAAGAAGGGAGGACAAACAAGGAAAGGACAATGGCAGAAGAAAGGTGACGTGCTCGGACCTGAATAACTGTAAAGAGTACAAGTCTGGGAAAGAAACACAGACGTCTGGTTTTTGCTGATAACTTTCCACTTTCTTCACTCTTGCTCGCATGCATCAACCGCAGAGGGCTGACTGCAATCGGCTTCCAAGTTCTTTCAAAAAGGCCACTTTAGTTCTAATCATGGGGACTTTAAGCTTCCTGAATCCATTCTGGTTGGGACTGCCAGCTCCCAGTGCCTCAGACATGCTGGCGGCTGAGAGGATGGTAGTTTATTCCATTATGTCTGCTCAAGGTCACATCTCTTAGGTTCACAGACAAGACTAGTCTTCTCCCTACCACCTGATTTTTCACCCGTCAGTAGGTGACTTGGTACAGACTGAGACAGACAGTTCTAACATAGACTCAAACCCCTGACTCACTTCTTTTAAGACAGAGTATTATCTTTAAAGGTCAATCTCATTGCCTTTCATCTCTGCCATGAACACAAGGAGAGGAGGCATATGCTAATCACCAAAGGGAAGACTCTCAACACATGACGCTGGACTACATCAAAAGCCAAAGTCTTTTGGCTGAGAAGTGGTGCCTGGCTCTCTTGCATTAACTTGCTCAGTTACACCTAACCAAATTCTATCACACAAAACGCCTCTGGATCTGAAACCCTTTAGTCACTCCACTGTCGAGTCTAGTTTTCCAGAATTAACCTGTGACTCGTGCCTAGGTGAAAACTACAAGCATGAACAAGATTACCTTATGTGATGCATGGCCCCCCGAATACCCAACCATTGGATCAGGGGTTACGGAAAGTTACTCCTGGAGGACTTTCCATGTATGACTATATCCTGGGAGGCTTTTAAGCCACCTTGTGAAAAAGCTGTTAAGTAGGTCAGGCATAGCAGCTACAATCAGACAGGAGCCCTAGGGAAAGCCTCATCTGCAAGTTTAAAGCTCTAAGTGAAACTTGGCTGCATCATGATTCAATGAATCTATTACAATTATTTTTTGCTTAGCACAGCGACTTGTATTTACATATAAGCAAAACCAGTAATCAGGCACATGCACTCTCACGCTCTAATTGCTGCTGAGACCCCAGGTATCTTTGCTCTTTTCCTGTGTCGGTGTCTCAGCTTTTTCATAAACATCATGTTTAAAAATAGAAGTTTTGTGAAAGATTTTCAATATGCGACTCACAAAATAGACTCTGCTCTTCTCACTGAAGAAGCCAGAACTCCTGAATGCCACTTCTTTGCATGTCTAGGACTCCTCCACCACACAGTTATTTAATCTCCTCCTCAAGGCCACCAGAAAAAGGACGCACTATGGATGTGGCAGATGTCAACACGGTGCGATGTTTGAGCATGGGCTTGAGGACAGGCTGTGTGAACTTGAACCCCAGCCGTCATCCACCACAGGGATGATAACAGTACTTCCTTACAGTGTCATCTGATGATTGACATCATCTTTGTTCAGGACTTAGACCAGTGCCTGGCAACTGTAAGTGCAATATGAGAAGCTGACAGATAGATGTTGGGACAAGTAGAGGTCATCTTTTGGGATGTACTTAGCTTGCAATCAGGAAATTCTAGAGCCCCCCTTTAAAACAATGGAGACTTACCAAGTCTAGATCCTCCTAGTTTTCAGAGGGGGAAACCAGACTCAGGGGGCCACTGGCTGAGGTTAGACAGTGAGTCACTGGCCCATGTGAAACCAGAGGTCAAAGTGCCTGCCTGGTTCTCTGCCTGGGGGTAGATATTTCTACCTTACCATGTCTCCCCGAGGCTAGGAGCCCTTCTTAAAGACAGCAGCAGGAAAACCTGCCTGACATGCCTCAGCTGAGGACAGCAACTCCTCTACTTGGCCTTCCTGCTGACAGGCAAGGGACAGGGTCCCAGGCGTGGACATGCCACATATGGCTGTGGCCACCAGCAGGGACCTCTTCTGTATGCACACAGTGACGAAGAACTCTGATCCATCCTGGAACATCTCTTTCAGTGTAAGTGCACAATTAATAAAATATGACACCATCCAACAAGCCTGGAGACATTCAAGCAGATCTCAGAAAGGCAGGCCTCTTGGTTCCCTGAGCTTCTTGAACACACAGCTCCAAGAAGATGGATATGGCTTAGTATTTTATTCCTAGAAGTGTGGAGAGGTACGTTCCAGGTTAAAAAACCCAACTTCATATTTTCCCTTTACACTTTGTCCTTCTCCTCAAGAGTGAAATCAAGTGAAAGAATGAAAAATCCATGGGTATTCAAAAGGTGATGCCTAAGCACAAAAGGAAGCCTAAATGTTGATCATTAATGAAAAGTGTGTATGAAGAGGCACTTGACATCTTATTACATCATTGTGTATAAAATCATGAAGCATTTAAGATTAGATTGATTTGGTGGAAACAGCAACATTAACACCTTTCTAGTAAGTGCTGTCACATACAGCATAACATTGCACTGAAGCACTTTAAATAGAAATCCACTTATATTGGCTATGAAATTACATCTCAGTAGGCAGTTCAAGGCCTCTACTTTTATGAAGCTTATCTCACTTCTAATGTTCTGCTTCCAATATCCTAAATCTTGGCCCTATGAAAGCACAATAAACTTCACAAGTTACCCAAGTATGACTATAAGAGAAATCAAAATCATTTGGGCCTTTTCTACTGAAAACACTAGGAAAAGAGTAAATAAGGTCACAGTGGAATGATTCTGGCTGTTTCCCAAAGAAAGACACCATAAACATTCTCAATTCCAATGACCCTTTTTGGGAATATCTTTTCCATTAGGTGTAGACAATGCTGTTATACCTCTGCTATAGATAGGAAACCCCATCTGCATAAATTCACAAACTATCTTAAGAAAACTGTCACTAAATGAAGATGATCCAAACCTTTTCCTTGCTCATACATTCTGAAACAAGATGTATGCCATCTCTCCTCAGGGGACACCCTCTCCCACCAACAAAATGACTCACAATTTATTGGATATTTTGATATTGAACACTGTCTTAGGGAGCTACCCATAGGCTATTCCATTCGATTAAAGTAGAATTTTCCTTCCCAATCCCAACCACCACCTTTCCTCCTACTGATCTAACCCTAACTCCAGCCTTACCATCTCCCAGATTAGTTGTATCACGTAAATTTTCTTTCTTCTTTTTTTGCATTCTGTGGTCAGATTCAGCTAGTTTCCTTCTCAGAAAGATATGCAGCTTCTCATTATGAATGTCTGAACATGAAGAAGCATGCAGGGCTGAAAGGAGTCCCAGAAACCAGCTGCTGAGTCAAAGATGCACTGAGTTCAGGATGAGGGAACACAGAGGGAACAGAGACTCTGGAATGCTTGGAAAGGAGGTGATGTGAGGAGCAGGAAAATGTTCAAGAAGGAATGGAAACATTCAAGAAGGTGTGAGTAACACCTCAAGTGTGGGATACCACTTTTTGGGGGAGGGGGAGCACCACTGTTACAGAATAAAAGATTGATAACAGCAAACATGATAATTAAATATGGAGACATTAGCTTTAAAACATAAATATTTTCAAATAAAGCCTGGCAAGATGGATCAGAATTCTGTAAGTTAGGTAAACATATTCAGGTAGGGTTACAATGGATTACAAG